AGTTTAGTTTTTGGTTCAGAATGACAGGTAATACGAAACTACATCGATTTTTCGTCACTCGTGAAAAATTTCTAAAAATGGACTTGGCACCTTTTCACTCTTAGGTCACGATATATGGATGTCCGTATTGCATATTGGCAATGATAAGGTATACGTTTGTACTTAGGAATCAGGTATATTTACATATTTGTGGCTACCAAGGTTGCTAAAGGTTGGAGATACGTGTATATTTTCCATTTTTCGCAAATACCTATACTCATTGTCCCGAAACCTACCAAAATCCAATCGAGCCTACCAACCTACCAAATGGAAAAAAAACCTACCCGTTTTGGTAGGAAAAGCCTATGTTTCGCAACACTGATACCGATGCCAGCATGAATGGTTATGGTGCGGTCTTATTGCAGAAAGACTTCGACGATCAAGAGCTTCACCCAATCCAGTATATGAGCCGGAAGACGAAGCCGTCCAAGGAGAAGCTGCATTCGTAGGAGCTCGAGGTCTTAGCAGTCGTAGGGGCGCTAAAGAAGTGGCGAGTGTACCTCATGGGAATCAAGTTCAAGATCGTCACCGATTGCAATGCCTTCAAAATGACGATGGAGAAGCGAGATGTTCCTCTGCGAGTATCCCGGTGGGCGATGTTTCTTCAGGATTTCGACTACGAGATCGAGCACCGCATCGGCACGAAGATGCGTCACGTCGACGCCCTTAGCCGAGTCTCGTGCCTGATCTTGGAGGATTCGCTACGCCACCGTCTGAAGCAGGCCCAGCAGCAGGATGACTGGATTCGAACTGTGCGCAAAGTGTTGGAGAAAGACAGTTTCGACGACTTTTATGTCAAGTACGACATCGTCTACAAAGATCCCATCAAGGAGCTCGTAGTTGTGCCTTCGGCTATGGAGGAAGAGATCATCCGAGTGGCGCATAAGCAAGGCCACTTCTCAGCAAAGAAGACGCAAGACGCAATAGAGAAGACGTACTTCATACCACAGCTGTACCCAAAGGTCGTCAAGATCGTCAGGAGTTGCATAGAGTGCATCGCTACCGATTCCAAGGCCGGCAAGAAGGAAGGCTTCCTGAACCCCATTAACAAGGAGGACAAGCCACTGAGTACCCTCCACATTGACCATGTCGGACCGATGGAGCTGACTAGGAAAACCTACAACCACATCTTAGTCGTAATAGATACCTTCTCCAAATTCGTCTGGCTATACCCGACAAAGAACACCGGCGCAGAGGCTGTGGTTGACCGATTGCGGAAGCAGTCAGAACTTTTTGGGAATCCTAGGCGAATAATAACGGACAGAGGCGCTGCTTTCACCTCAAATCTCTTCAAAGATCACTGCAAATGTGAAGGGATCGAGCATCTTCTAATAGCGACGGGAGTGCCTCGTGGTGACGGGCAGGTTGAGCGGATACATCGCATAGTGGTACCGATCATAGTGAAGCTGAGTCACGAGACTCCCGGAAATTGGTACACGAAAGTTGATCGCGTCCAGCAATTTATTAATAACACACCGCCGTGCAGCACCAAGGCCTCACCGTTCAAGATATTGACAGGGTTGGATATGCGGATGAAGGCAATCCCTCAGTTGCAGGAGCTACTGGAGAACGAGCTCATCGACGAACTAGACGTCGAAAGAGATGAAGTGCGTCGCCAGGCGCGAGACAACATTGCTGAGATGCAGGTGGAGAGCCGCAAAACGTTCGACAAACACCGACAAGCTGAGGCCGAGTACGCCATAGACGAGCTACTAGCCATCGTGCGAACGCAATACGAGTCTGGGCTGAAGCTGAAACCTAAATATTTGGGACCGTACAAGATCATGAAGAGAATGAGACGCGGACGATACACCGTCGAGAACCGTCGGGGACCACGAAGGCCCAAACCGCACCATTACAGTCGCCGAATTCATGAAAAAATGGAACCCGTCATCCGAGGCCGAATGATCGCGCAGGATGGCCGAATGTGGGATTGGAACGACGGACTACAGGAACGGACCTGACAGGCGAACTATTGTGGACGAATGCAACCATGCGCACCAGACTATGAAATGAACGATCGGACCGCACTGAACACACCCCAAACTAGACTTTGACAAGATGAACAACCGGACAGAATAATCATTGTAAATCAGTATTAATCCTCGCAAATAATTGTGTATTAAATTATATGTATATCTGTGCGTAATAAAGACTGTGAAACTAACAATTTAAAAACTGTTTTTCTACATAGATATGTATTATTTCCACTAGTAGCTATTTATGTAAATATGTATGTATAAAAATACATTTGCTTAATATATGCAAATAAAAGAAGAAAGTAAACACAACAACCATCGAGTAAATTTTTATTTGTGTCGACCTGGAACTTTTTTTCCAATAATAAACGGTTAGCTGATTCAAGCCTACAGCAAGTTCACAAAATTAATTGAAAACTTGTATCAACCAAAGCATTGTTTATATTTGCTCAACAATGATTTAGTCTGTTCCAATAGTAGTCCGGTTTACAGGATTTAGTCAGAACTTACAGGAGGTGGTTCCTATTGACATAAAACCTGTAAGTAGGAACACTTTTGAGAAAGTAACTGAGCAACTGTTCCTAGTCAGAAGTTACAGGATTTAGTCCGGAGTTTTTTTTTCCTGTAAGTTCATGAAAAGTGTCAAACGATCAGCTGATTTGCATGTGTAAACAAAAACAGAAAACGGTGTAAGCAGAGTACGTAAACAAACCGACTGACGTTTTTACAAGAAATAGTGCTTTTTGCGTTCCCATGCACTTCTGCACCTGTTCTCGTTTTACTCTCATTTGAGAGCGTAAAATTGTAGTTTGACAGTTTCACAGGTTTTAGTCCGAAGTTCAAGGGAACAGACTAATTTTATTCCACTAACAATATTGACCACTCAAGGTAGTCGTTTTGTAATTGTTAACAAATATACATTTGTCCCAACTAGAAGTCTCAAGTTAATTGCAGACTTTCGTGAACTAGATATTTATTTCGCCATATCCAACTATGCCACTTGGTCACTATAACCAAATCTTGGTAATTATAACTAAACCTTTTTCTGAGAGTAGCAAGTAGCGCTGCAGCCACTATTACAGAAGCGCTGAAGTTATTAAAATTGATTATAAATCAGTAGACAGCGAGGCGAAGAATTGCCAAATTGAGCGCAAAGGCAGCATAAAAGAAGAAAAAAACAATTTTGATCAAAATACATGTGCGAGAGTGGTAGCATTTTGCTGCGTCGCACGAAAACCGGACCGTTGCCTAATGGGATATATTAGGCCCTACAGAATGCAATAAAAACACATATTTTTAAGATTTAATTGAAGGTTATTTGGTCTGACAAGACTGAATTAATCGTTTTCAATCAGATGGCCGGGCATGGTATTGGATCAAAAACCCACATTAAGCCTAAGCGCATCATGTAATGCAAACTGTGAAACAAAGTGGTCGGTCAATAATAGTTTGGGGTTGTATTTGAAAAATTTTGTTGGTCCGTTAGTTCGCATTATGCGTAAGGAACAGTATCTGTTCAGATTTCAACAAAATTTGCAAGATGTAGTCGAAAAAATTAGAGTTTCTGCTGAAAAATAACCGAACCCACACTGTAGATGTTCGCAAAGACTGGATACAAAAGCAAAAATTTGCTAATTTGAAATGACCTCCACAATCTGCGGACATGGATCTCATCGAGAATTAGCGAAATCAACTAAAAGCGCAACTTACTAAGTATCCAAGTCCGTCCAATGGAGTACATGAGCTGTAAATGCACACCAAGGATATATGGGAGGCTATACCTCCAGAATTTTTACAGAGATACACATTAGGTTTGCCAAATTGCAAACAGGAACTAACAAAAGCAAAAGTATACTAAACATTGTGTCAATAATTTCTTTTTTCCGTGAAAATTGTCAAACAGTTATGTGCTTTTTTACGGGCTTCGAAATAAACTTGGGAGAATCCCAGCTGCTACAAATAAATGACAATCTCGATTTACAGTATGGTTTGATTTCCACTTGGATTCTCAACTTGGTTTATTCTCTAAGACAATAAATACAAAAATGCAATTTACAAATAGTACAAGCTATATAAGTTGATGTTACTCACATTGGTTTCGCTCCGTAGACAAGTAAAAAAGAACGGAATTCGCTAGAAGCACGACTACTTATAGCTTGACTTAATACATAAATGACACTCAAATACAGATACAATACACCGCTATTCATGCTCCGCAACATTTGTAGGGTTTCCATCATCGACATCCCCGGTCCCGTGAGCAGACCCGGATGGGGAGGCCTCATTAATATTTCCGGCTGGTTCCACATCAAGTACCGCTAACCTTGAAATAGGTCTTCGGTAGACTCCGCTGCTTGTCGTGACATGGGCGGAGCGAGCGACACCTCTCCTCTCTTCCACTGCGGCCTGGGAGATTCGGCTTCACATATCAAAACGAGACATCCTGGCTGGATGGGCTTTGCTTGCAAACACCACTTTCTACTCCGCGTCAGTTCGGGTAAATATTCGCGCACCCATTGATGCCACATACCGTTCTTCAATGTCTGAACCACACGCCACTGCTTTCTCAGGCACAACAGGCGGTGATCAAATAGCGCTGGCGTCTGTGTGGAGTTGGGGCACCCCAGCAAAAAGTGGTTGGGAGTCAATGGCACCGGCTCCTCGGGTGTCACCGGTAGGTGTGTTAACGGCCTGGCGTTGACCATGTTTTCAGCCTCAATTAAAAAGCTCTGCAGCGTTTCGAGTCGTGGCGAGTGTTCCTTCAACATAGTAAATAGCGCTTTCTTTACTGATTGTACGAGTCTCTCCCATGCGCCACCTTCACTCGGATTCGCAGGTGTGTTAATTTTCCAACGAATGCCCAATGGCGTCAAGCCTGCCGAAGAAAGAAAGAAGAAGAATCTAAGAACGAACTTACGTCTTGCAGCTCCTTTGCGATGCCAACAAAATTGGAGCCATTGTCGCTCCTTATCACCTCGGGCACTCCGCGTCTATTAATGAAATTTCGGATGCAGATAAGGCACGCGTCACTTGACAGGTCAGTCGCCACTTCTAAATGGATGGCACGCACGGTGAGGCATGTGAACAGTGCGACCCACCTCTTCTCACGCTGGCGACGAATAGTTACGCTGATCGGGCCAAAGAAGTCGAGCCCAGTATAGGTGAAAGGCCTAACGTATGGTGTCACTCGGTCAGAGGGTAGGACACCCATTTGCGGTTGCTGGGGCTTGGCACGTTTCAGGCGACAAAGTTGGCATCGCGACTGCACTCTGCATGCTGCCCTTTCAATTCTTCCGCATACTCGCAGCATGCCATTATTTGCAATAAAGGGGTTGAGTGTCCTCAATGTACTGCTGGCTGAAACAGCGCCATTGCGCTTTATGTCGGCAAGTTCTTCGGCATACGCTCGTTCCTGGACGAATTTTATAAGATGTGTTTCAGATTGACGCTCTTCGTCAACGGTTAGTTCGCCTTTGGTTGGCGCTTCGTGCCGCACTTTCCTCAAAAAATTTTGAATATAACGATGTACCCATGCCACAGAACGTTTTAGTCTAGAATAATTCGAAAAGCGATCAATATTTGGCATTATCACGTATACTTGCCTCGTAGTTGACATATTGTATTTGACGCGCAGCTCATCTCTGCTGTGCTCCTCGCTATTAGTCATAAGTGATTCTTTCGGCCATAGGTTCTCGTCTTCCAACAAAAATTCTGGACCATTTTTCCACCGTCCATCGGGGTTATAATTCGCCGGAAATTTCGCTGTAGTGGCGTCATCGACTGAATTGAAAGGCCCAGGACACCAGCATCAGTCTCCGATGTCGCTAGCTTCTAAAATTTCTGCCACTCTTTATATCGTCGATGATCTGCTCGAATCCATTGAATAACTGTCAACGAGTCGGTCCAGAAATAGAAGCGATTAATGATTTTATTATGGATTAATACGATAGTTTCTTTTAACCGTAGCAGCATGACCGCAGCCTGCAGCTCAAGCTTCGGTATGGTATGGTACCGCGTTGGCGCGCAGCTTGACTTTGCCATAACGAATCTAACGATAACCATACCATCACTCACCACACGCCAATAAGCCACAGCTGCCAACGCTTCCTCACTCGCGTCAGAGAAAATGTGTAACTCTGCGAGAATACTTTCGAAGTCGCGCACGTAGCAACGCGAATTCGAAATTGCTCAACCTTCGGCAATTCGTTAAGCCACATTTTCCATTTGTGGTAGATATCATTCGGCAATGGATGGTCCCATTCGATACCAGCTCTCCACACTTCCTGCATCAAAACTTTCGCGCTTACCATAAAGTTCACCAGGAAGCCGAATGGATCGAAGATCGTCATGTTAAGGCTCAGCATCTCCCTTTTAGTAGGCCTCCTTACATTCATGACGATTTCTGGTCGGACTTTATGTAGTCGCAAGATGTATACCAAAACATCTGGTTTTGACAAGCAGTGCATGCCTAATATTCTATCCCCTTCTTTTTCAATGCACACATCACCTTCACTGCTTGCAGAGCTGCCACATGCTGTTTTTAATTTTTCCGGATTAGAAATTATGTTTCGTAACACGAAACCGCCAGTTCGATGAATTCGAATAACTTCCGGTACTACTATTAGAGCCTCTTTCTCCGTTTGAAAACAATCGACGTAGTCGTCCAGATAGTGCCTTTCAGNCCAACAAAATTGGAGCCATTGTCGCTCCTTATCACCTCGGGCACTCCGCGTCTATTAATGAAATTTCGGATGCAGATAAGGCACGCGTCACTTGACAGGTCAGTCGCCACTTCTAAATGGATGGCACGCACGGTGAGGCATGTGAACAGTGCGACCCACCTCTTCTCACGCTGGCGACGAATAGTTACGCTGATCGGGCCAAAGAAGTCGAGCCCAGTATAGGTGAAAGGCCTAACGTATGGTGTCACTCGGTCAGAGGGTAGGACACCCATTTGCGGTTGCTGGGGCTTGGCACGTTTCAGGCGACAAAGTTGGCATCGCGACTGCACTCTGCATGCTGCCCTTTCAATTCTTCCGCATACTCGCAGCATGCCATTATTTGCAATAAAGGGGTTGAGTGTCCTCAATGTACTGCTGGCTGAAACAGCGCCATTGCGCTTTATGTCGGCAAGTTCTTCGGCATACGCTCGTTCCTGGACGAATTTTATAAGATGTGTTTCAGATTGACGCTCTTCGTCAACGGTTAGTTCGCCTTTGGTTGGCGCTTCGTGCCGCACTTTCCTCAAAAAATTTTGAATATAACGATGTACCCATGCCACAGAACGTTTTAGTCTAGAATAATTCGAAAAGCGATCAATATTTGGCATTATCACGTATACTTGCCTCGTAGTTGACATATTGTATTTGACGCGCAGCTCATCTCTGCTGTGCTCCTCGCTATTAGTCATAAGTGATTCTTTCGGCCATAGGTTCTCGTCTTCCAACAAAAATTCTGGACCATTTTTCCACCGTCCATCGGGGTTATAATTCGCCGGAAATTTCGCTGTAGTGGCGTCATCGACTGAATTGAAAGGCCCAGGACACCAGCATCAGTCTCCGATGTCGCTAGCTTCTAAAATTTCTGCCACTCTTTATATCGTCGATGATCTGCTCGAATCCATTGAATAACTGTCAACGAGTCGGTCCAGAAATAGAAGCGATTAATGATTTTATTATGGATTAATACGATAGTTTCTTTTAACCGTAGCAGCATGACCGCAGCCTGCAGCTCAAGCTTCGGTATGGTATGGTACCGCGTTGGCGCGCAGCTTGACTTTGCCATAACGAATCTAACGATAACCATACCATCACTCACCACACGCCAATAAGCCACAGCTGCCAACGCTTCCTCACTCGCGTCAGAGAAAATGTGTAACTCTGCGAGAATACTTTCGAAGTCGCGCACGTAGCAACGCGAATTCGAAATTGCTCAACCTTCGGCAATTCGTTAAGCCACATTTTCCATTTGTGGTAGATATCATTCGGCAATGGATGGTCCCATTCGATACCAGCTCTCCACACTTCCTGCATCAAAACTTTCGCGCTTACCATAAAGTTCACCAGGAAGCCGAATGGATCGAAGATCGTCATGTTAAGGCTCAGCATCTCCCTTTTAGTAGGCCTCCTTACATTCATGACGATTTCTGGTCGGACTTTATGTAGTCGCAAGATGTATACCAAAACATCTGGTTTTGACAAGCAGTGCATGCCTAATATTCTATCCCCTTCTTTTTCAATGCACACATCACCTTCACTGCTTGCAGAGCTGCCACATGCTGTTTTTAATTTTTCCGGATTAGAAATTATGTTTCGTAACACGAAACCGCCAGTTCGATGAATTCGAATAACTTCCGGTACTACTATTAGAGCCTCTTTCTCCGTTTGAAAACAATCGACGTAGTCGTCCAGATAGTGCCTTTCAGGCCTTTCAGTGATAGCGTGCACGGCACGTGGGCTCACTGCTGCAAATTCCTTGGCATTAACGTTTTTTACGTACTGCGCTATCGTGGGTGAACAAGTAGCTCCGAAAATCATTCGCTCCATCCTGAATATTTCCACCGGCTTAGATGGGTCTCCATTTCTCCAGAGGAACCGCTGGCTATCTTTATCTTCCTCAGCTATTACAATTTGATGAAACATCTCTTAAATGTCTCCACAGACTGCGATTGGAGCTTGCCTGAACTTAAAGAGTATCGAAATCAGTGATTTGTTAAGGTCGGGTCCTGACAGAAGAGCTTTGTTTAGTGACATTCCTTGCACTTCTGCGGCCGCATCAAAAACGATTCGTATTCCCTTCTTATTCAGGTTTCTCACACCAAAATGCGGCAAATAAAATGTTCTATCGGTAACTTGCTGTATTTCGGCGGATGTTAATTTTTTTGCATAGCCCTTTTCCAAATAATCATTAATTTTGGCTCGATAGTCTACCGAATACTCTTTGTCTCTAGCCATTTTTTTCTCTACACTTTGTAACCGATTCAAGGCCATCTGGTAACTCTCTGGGAATGGTGACACATTTTCCACATTGACCACATTCATAGCGGCCGCCTAATCGTTTTGTTTTAGCTTCTAAAATCGCCAGCGCTCGCTGATCAGATTTAGGCATTATCTTTTTTGAATCAGCTTTAATACCAANTTTTGGCTCGATAGTCTACCGAATACTCTTTGTCTCTAGCCATTTTTTTCTCTACACTTTGTAACCGATTCAAGGCCATCTGGTAACTCTCTGGGAATGGTGACACATTTTCCTTCCATAAGCTTTTAAAATCGCCAGCGCTCGCTGATCAGATTTAGGCATTCTTTTTTTTGAATCAGCTTTAATACCAAACGACTCGATATCGAAATACCTTTTCATCATTTCATGCATTTTGTACGCAACGTCTTCTGATTTTTGTAGCTTTCTACAATGTAATGCACGAAGTGGTTGCAACGAAGGCGTCGCGTTAATTGACCCATAAATCACCCAGCCTAACCTTGTTTTGGAACGCGATGGGCCCTGCGCCCATAGTTTGGCGTGGGGCTTCTATTGGGACTGTCAAAAGGGCATGGTTGAGGCTTAGAATAACCTTTGGCTTAAGGTTGGTATAATCGGTGAGCTTTAATCTCAAAAGATGAGAGTTTGTACCCGATTTTGTTAACTCGCCAATATGACAGCTCTGTATTGGCAACGACAAATTTGCAGAACTGAAAACATTATGCACCTCATACTTCTCGGAGGCGTTTTCCACACCGCTGATTGTTATGGTCACACGTTCAGCTTTATGTGTATTTATTTGCTAAATTAACCATTGCAACTCCAAAATTTCAGCCTTGCCGCTAATTCCAAGTGCCAAGGCAGGTCTAGGTCGATCACGGACACGTTCGCCCCATCGTCGACGAAAGCATAGGTAGTTATAACCTTTTCTCGGCCATACAATTTTATGAGCAAAATTTGGAAGAGGACGTTGTGCGAGTAGCAATCGGCATGACAATTGCAGCGTTCAATATGTTGTTGTGCGTCGGCCTGCGGTCTTGCAGCGCCTAGTTCGCTTGATGCATTGGCTGCTCTGCGGCGTCTTGGCGGTACACCAGCAGAATCAGTGTGGAGCAAATGATGGTGAACTTGTCGGCAACCGTTTGTTCCACAACTTTTGCGTGAAAGGCATTGTTGCGTACGGTGACCTTTTCTTAAGCATGAGAAACAAAGCTTTAATGCTTTCACTTGCTTCCAACGATCGTCACTTGTCATCTGTAAGAAAGATTGACAATCATTTAATGTGTTGCACTCACCCTCATAATTGGGACATATTTTGTGAAAAACGCTCACGCAGGCGTAGTGACGATTGTTGGATGCAGTTCTGCGACCTTGAGCTGTTTTGGTTCCCAATTGCAGTTGAACTCCCATCATAAGGTAGCGTGTCGGCTACGATGTTTGCCAGGCGGCGTAACGTGCACAACCAATTGCTGAAATCCACAATCGTTGGGGGACGCTCCAATTGAAGACATTTTTCCGCCCACAGCATTTGGCGTGGCGTCGGCAATTTAGCAATGAATTCACTGATCAGCGTTGGATTAGAAAGGTGGTGGAATCCGTCCACGTTTTGAAGTAATGTCGCCATGTTTGCTATTTTGTTGGCAAAATTTACCAGAGATTCGAGGTGATTATCGACTAAAGGCGGTATCGACCTGACCTTTTCAATTTGGCTCTTGATCAACTGTTCTGGCCTTCCGCAGGTTTCGCGCAGTATCTCGAGGATTGCGGCTACGTTGGCAGAATTGACCAGCAACGACTCCACGGCTTCTCGTGCTCGGCCTTTCAGAGCATCACGTAGGCGCATTATATTGTGCAAATTAGAGTATTCAAATTCAAGCGTCGTACCCTTGAAATTTTCGATGAACGTCTGCCAATCTTCAGGAGTACCTGAAAATATAGGAAGGGGGTATATTTTCTTAGCAGCGCTGCTCGTAGAGTGCTGGCTCTCTTCGCGAAGGTATGATGTGCCACGCGGTGCTTGTGCATATGGCTGTTGCGTTGACTGCAACCAAGCATGCGTTGGCTGCGCGGCTGCTTGTGAAGATGGCGTTGCTGACTGCGACCAGCCATGCGCTGGCTGCGCGGCTGCTTGCGAAAGTAGCGGTGCTGACTGCGCCCAAGCATGCGCTGGCTGCGCGGCAGCTTGGGAAAATGGCGGCGCTGACTGCCACCAAACGTACGCTGGCTGCGCGGCCGTTTGCGAAAGTGCGGGTGCTGGCTGAGGTCCCGTGAGTAGTGGCGGTGCGGGTGGCAATGACGTCTGCGACGATGGCGGTATGGGGAAAATACATGCTGGCGTCATGGTCGAGTTCGTAGATGGCTGTACTGGCTGCGGCTCTTCTAGCGTTAATAGCGAAGATGCGGAAGTTCTTGGCGGCGATTTGGATCTAGCTTGCAAAAATTCAGAACGTAGTTGCTGTGTGTTGGAAACGAGTAGCTTCTGCATGGCATACATTTGGCGCTTGAACTCGTTTTGCATTTCATCCAACTGGCGTCCAAACCCATCGAGGTTAACACTTACCGGCTGTGGTTGTACTGATGATGCGTTCGAGGTTGATATCTTGGCGGGTGTAGTTTTTTGCTGTTTACCGGACGAATCCTCCTGCATTCCGGCGCCCGAACTGCGCTGTTGCTGGGCAGACAAGCTCTGCTGTTGCTGCGACTGGGCAGACGTACTCGACTGTTCGTTCGACGTTTTGTCACTCGGTGGGTTTGGAGATGACATCTCTACAACAAACTCTCCAAGACGAACGGGCAACAGTCACTTGTTTTTCCTTTGACTCCTTCTCGGTGTATTTGGACTTCCTGGCATAGACTTGATGAGCGACAATTAAGAGAATGGACGGGAACAGGGGCTTCAATAGAATAAAGTTGTGCTTTTTTACGGGCTTCGAAATAAACTTGGTAGAATCCCAGCTGCTACAAATAAATGTCAATCTCGAGTTACAGTATGGTTTGATTTCCACTTGGATTCTCAACTTGGTTTATTCTCTAAGACAATAAATACAAAAATGCAATTTACAAAAAGTACAAGCTATATAAGTTGATGTTACTCCCATTGGTTTCGCTCCGTAGACAAGTAAAAAAGAACGGAATTCGCTAGAAGCACGACTACTTATAGTTTGACTTAATACATAAAATTAATACATAAATGACATTCAAATACAGATACAATACACCGCTATGCAACATTTGCACGGTTGCCATCATCGACAAGTTATTAAAAATATATGAGTGCAAAACTGTAACATTTGCCTTAATTTACATTTTTGTCTGCTGGTCTCATTATTGTTGTTGGATTGACTTCAAATCGTTATAAAGAGGGAGTACAGGTGTACCAATAAGAATATACAAAAAAAGTATGAAAGTCGTTAGAACTTGGAAAGATAGCGGCGGCTGAAATAAAAAGTGAAGTACCGTTAATTTCTTCATGATCCAATGATCGGATCTAAACCAAATTAGTATAGGACAACCACTGAGGTAACACCTTTCTCTTAAAAAAATTATAGAAATCGGTTAACGTGGTCCTAAGTTATGCGGTAACATACATAAAAAAAATATTCCGATGAATTGATAACCTCCTCCTTTTTTTGAAGAGGGTTAAAAAGAGAAAAATTAATGAGGTAAATTATTATAAATTTTTACTATCTAGATGTTAACATTTCTAAAAAATATTACATTAAAAAAATCTCAGCACTCTCCACACATTGCTCTTATATTTGAGTTGTCCATCAACAATTACCTAATATCTACACATTCAGCGCGTGGCGGTGGGGAAATCTTTTGAGATGGGGACATTTTGCATACTGGATTATTGTTGCCGCCACAAAGCAGCTGCACTGCCAAGAGCGGTTTCTTATACCTTCCCTAATACTACTTATACGTGTAAATATCAGTAAATGGTTTTTCATAAACTAATAGTTTAAACTGATAGTTTAAATGATTAACTTGCTTGATAAAATCGATAAAATCTTTCTAGTGCAACTCGCATAAAATCTACTTTTCGTTAAGGTACAACTTCTTGAACGATCTGACCTCAAGCTCTGGGTTTTCAGACGTTCATTGGTAGGTTATGAGGACTAAAAAGACAGATATTAAACAAATCTGCTAGTTACCAAATGCGAGAAAAAAGTTTATATTTAGTGCTTGTGTATTTGGGTCTTCGTAAAAAAATGCTCACCTCTAAAAATAATTTTAATGGTCAGTACTGAATAATCCTTACTAATTTTATTTCGAATGGTTTGTTTGTTACGCTTTCACGCTTTAGCCACTCAACCGATCTTAATGAAATTTCGCACATTGGTGTCACTTAGCAGAACTTAAAAGGTAGGATAGCTTTTATCTCGATTAGACAAAGGCACCTCCAATACAACCGGAATTTTGCATACTGCATAGTCTGGAAGTATTTGTGGTAGAGTACTAGAACTTGGTATGGGGATATATGAAATCAATTCTATACTCATGGAAAAAATTTGGGTTCTTGGAAAAGGGCCCGAGGCACCTCCCATACACACTGAATTTCTTGTACAACCATCCGTTAAAAAATTTACTTCAATTCAAAGTATTTGATAAGTTTAATTATTACAATATGGATATCGATCGAGTCGTTGTAACCTAAAAATGGTAATTCTTAGGAACAAAAGTCTCATAACGGTTTTTCGAGATAATTGCATGATCTTAAATTTTGTCCAACCTATTTTTATGATAGACCTTACCGTTTCGCTGAAAAATGGTAAAAATAAATTTATGTGACCTTTGACCTTGAATAATTTTTTTACAGATCTTGGATCGATGAGGACTTTTCAGATTTAATTTAGGTAACATTCGTACCAATTTTCAGCTTTATGCGAATCATTGCAACTTTCAAAATCTAACTTAGCCGGGCCAAAAGGAAACAATTTTAAAGATATGGTTTAAACAGAGTGGCAATTAAATAATATTAATTTCACGGGTTATAGTGTATATCAATAAGGTTGGCAAGTGATAAATTATGGAAAAAAAAGTTTTGAAATAAAAATAATTGAAAAAGCCCGACCTCAAAAGGTTTTCCCATATACATACATTTATTTATTTATTTATTCAGTCCACAGGTTATCCTTACCGAC